TGTTGGCGCTATATAAATCCTGTATTATAATAATAATAATAATAATAATAATAATGCGCTTGTACAGTAGGAGAACAGCTGTGAATCCGCAAGGCTACACTGATGGTTTCCCTTACCTAAGAGGAACCTTAAGTAAGGGAACTTGCATCGGCTCAGATGAGGACATTGCTGGATCACTGGACAGGTAAGTGTCCTTATATTAAAAGTCAGCAGCTACAGTATTTGTAGCTGCTGACTTTTAATTTTTTGAGGGGAGCCTTTAATGTCCAGGCCGTTTATATATGGCCCGTGGATGGCTGATGAATCATAAAATTCTCACCGTGCTGGATCCTAAAATATAGCGATTGCGCCTCCCTGTCTACTGGTATGTTGTTTTTGTTGGAATAAACTTGATGTCACTGGTGTGTGGCCTTTGTTTAAACTACAGTGCATGCAAGGATCAGCAACAGGTTCCATGGACCGGCACCCAGTGCACCTTCCATGGAGGACAGAGATCTGGAGCTTTGGAACAGTGAGATTCATGAAGACTTTTTAGTAGTTTGAGATTGTTGTTATTAATCATCCATCAAAAGTGGCTTTAGACCCAGGTCTCTCAGTATGACTTATTTGGGATATTGTTAGATATTTTTATGGGTTATTGCATTATTATTCTTCATGTTTTTTCCAACTGGTTTTCAGACCATAATAAAATAATAGGACTATTTATGTTACCTTGAATTTTAGTGCAGCTTTCCTTCCTCCTGAAATTTGTTCTAAACCACAATACGCCATCTACCCTTATGGCAGTTCATGCGATGAGTGGATGGGTACATTTTGGGACAAATATGGCAGCCATGGTTGAACATTGTCACTTTTTTAAAGGAAGTCCAACCATGACATTGGTGACATCAGCTGTTTGGGATGAAGGTAAGAGTAATTTGCATGGGATGAAAGCAGGGCTATTTTAGATTGGGTGCACATGTTATATATGTGATTTTTTTTTGTGACCACAGATATCCTTTAATTGGGGAAAAGCTGGAAGTAGCAGCTTTGTTATCATGGCTGCAGTACTGTTCAGAATCCTCATAAACAGAAGGTCCAAGACAGACTTTAATTCCCGTTACAATCCTAAAGATTTTGAAAGATCAGTCTTTGATCTCAGAAAAAATAACCAAAAGAAAAAAAAGCACTACTGATATTACCCCTCTCCTTGCATATTTACTCCTATATTTGTGTTTCTCTGGGGTCCCTCTTTAAAGAATGAAATATTTTCATGTGAGCTTACTGAATAGCAAAGGTTAACACCATCCCAGCAGCCACATGGGTGGAGTATTGCTTGCTGTATTTTTATAACCTGAGGGCACATAAATAATTTTTAATCTTTTACCAGAGTAGTTTTATATGGGTTTGACAATTACTTTATTTAATAGCCTAGTGGAAAAAGGGAAGGAACATTTTAACCTTTTTGGCTGAATGGTGTTTTCTGCCAGAAGTCACAATGCTGAGTTGTATTTTGGTCACAATTCAGATATATTGACACTTACAAGTTTTTATGATGAAATGCTGACAAACAACAGAACCTGAACATGAGCAACTGGGGCCTGTGATCATTCCCTTTGGCATGCTCAAGTTGCTCGACAGCAGAACCATAAATCCCAGCATGTCCTACCTGGCAAATAATTGAATTATGTACATAATGAACCACAGACTTCATAAGGAGGTTTCCATAGGGCAAAAATATACTACCAGAGTCATAATAATGTCATCAAAATACAGATGTCCATCATTGGAACCAAGGTCATTAAAATTCAGATAGCCATTGATGAAACAAGGGTAAATGAATTTCAGATGACTAATGTAGTGCTTACTCCCATAGGAGCCGCTGTAATTTTGCCCAGGTTCTTCCCCAGTGGATTGCCCCACAGCCAGGCACACAAACACGGTCACTTGTGTCCTCAATAACCAGTGAAGGGGTGTTGTTTTTGTTGTTGTTTTTATTTTTGGAGAACTTGGATAGGGATGAAGGAACTGAGTGGTATACTACAAAAACAGAAACTATGTACAACCTGAGGACAGCGAACATCTTTCTGTAAGGCTGAGGCAGAAGTCCTTACATACAGCAAACTGTGGACTTGTAAAGCATTCAGGCTTCTTTCTTTAGAGCAACCAGAGCAGAGTCCCTTCACACAGAACTAGGCAGACTAAGCTCTTCAGGACACCAGCCGATGTCCCCTTTAGCAAACACACAGCTGACTATCTAGCACAAGAGGGATGGGTTGGCAGCAGCCCAAAAGTCTCTAAGATCTCTCAGCAGTCTCTACTCACAAAGGTCCAGTGACAGCTGGTTGCCTCCTTCCAACTTCCAAGCAACATTTTCCTCCAGTGATACCAGACTAGATCTTCACCAGACAGCCCCTCAGTCAGCTCTCAGTAGCTTCAGCATCCAGGACCTCAGGTCGCTCACCCGAGGCCTCTTGAAAAGTAAGCACATGGCAGTGTTGCCTTGGAGAGCAGCCACCTTCCAGGCTGGACTGATCCTATGCAGGAAAAGACCCAGCGCTCAGTGTGCTCAGAGAGTATACTGTATACAGTTACCCAGCATGCCATCAGGGCCCTGCTCCCTGGGATTGGCCAGGGCTATATAAATATTCATGCTGCCATTTGCATAGCTCCACACTTATAATTCAGAAAGTTCTACTGATTTCTGGAATACAGAGAGCTATCAGACTGGCAGCAGCTGAGAACACTGAGCAGACCTAACTAATCAATTGAAGCCACACTGAGTACTGCAAGACAAGCTAAATTTACCTGACAAAAATACACACAGCTTCACTGAACACAGTGAGCCAGCACTAAATCAAACTAATCCTAGCACCTATTTAGCAGGATGCTAAACTATCAATGGAACCAGGGTCATCAAAATTCAGATGATCATTGATGGAGCCAAAGCCAAGACTTCGTTCCCAAGGCCAGAACTGTGTTATCAAAGGTCAGGACAGGATTCAGAAGCAGAAGGGTGTTTTCAAAAGTCATAACTGACTAGGAGAGCAAGAATTATGCTTTCAGCACCTGAAATGCCTCACCAGAGATCAGGAACCAAGAATATTGGAAAAGCCATCTTATAAGCCAGAATCCACAAGATACATGATACTGGAGTCCAGAATCAGACTACTAGAGGCTTAGAACCATGTTAGCGGTACTAGAACTGCAGCGCTGAAAATAGATATACATTATTAAAAGCAGAAACACATTAGTGAAGTCTTGGTCACATTGCTAGAAATGAGAATTAAGGTAAAGGGCAATTTCCAGGTTTGCCTGTTCTCCTAGGAAACCAAATCTCAAAGAAACAGTAAAGAAAACTCCATAACAATATACTGAATATTTGTTCCCATCAGTTTCTGATTTAAAGGAAATGCATTCTTCATTTTTATCATTGGCCATCATGCAAAATGCATGCAAAACGTGTTTTTTTTTAATACTACAATGAAATCAGACTCTAAAAATGTATACAACCATACAGTTCAAAGAAAACCCATGCCTGCCCACCAAGTTTGCTTTAATGCCTGTCTCCTTAGTGGCAAAAAATTTGGTTTTCTTTGACCCCTTACTACTTTGTCCATATGCTTACAAGTATGGGTGGAGGGGGGCATGTGACTCACTTCCCTTTTAATTGTGACATCACTGGTGCTTGGTTATTGGCACATAGACACAGGGAGAGAGTTCTGCATAAGCTCTGTATAAAACAACTAGGTGCTTACACAGGCATACCTTTCCTAGAGGCTGAACATAGAGGAGAAGGACAGCAGAAAAGATAAGAATGTCTTGCTGGGGAGCAGGGGTTTTAAAATTAACCTGCTAATTTGCCCTGCATGAGTAAAGAATAGGTTCACTTTAAGGCCAGACCTCTGTAGTCAAGCATCATAGGAACAAGTAGCTGAGCCATATAGAGTGCAAACCTATTTAAGTGACTGGAATCATATTTCCACAAAAGAACAAAGAATGAGGGCATTGGATGTTTTCTTTTTTCAAGATATAAGTAGCCATTGGAGATTTCACCAGTAGCACCAGTATCTGGTGAAACCTGGTATAGCAAGATGACCTAAAAATACAATTATTCCTTATTGAAATCATCTACTTTTGTGGTTTGCCATCAGTCCTTCAAGCACAACAAATAATAGCCACTCAGGAGCATTTAAGAATGTTGCTTGTTGCCAGTAGCAGGTAATTATCCTCCATCTATCATTTCTGCCATCCTGAGTTTGTGCATGATTAACTCTATTGCACCCATTGGCATACACAATGTGCCTCTGGCAGGTAGTATTTGCCACTCAGTAGCACAAAGTCACATTGTGCTTCTTGAGGGTGTAGATGAACCCCAGTGTCAGCTGGTACCCACAATCAGAGTTTCAACCAAGGCAGCCTGGAGCATATCTCTTTTCTAAACCCAGTAGGCCCCACAGAGAGGTAGATACACCGCCATGTAGAAGAGGAAATATCCTTCTCAGAAATCCCATTTAAAAACTAGTGATGGAACTCCAGGTTTCCCCTCATCATAACCTCTTTTCTTTGTTACATAAGTTCTTCTTTTCTCAAGGTATCAGTCAAATACAGAAGTATGACACAACTCTTCAAAAATTGATCCCACAGCCTTGAACATCTCTGAAAAACTCTGCAAAGCAGATTTACAAACAAGTCAACTTTTCACGTTCCTTCATGATACATACTCTGAAAGCAGAAGTATTACTTCTCCTTGGTTACTAGTGCTTAGATAAGTAGTCCCATCCTAATGCATGTCACATTGTGCTGTCTGAGTCTTACATGGTAGGTCGTGTTTAGATTCTATTTCTTTTAGTGCTATTTGAACATGTTATATAATTTCACAATGCAAGGGAATTAAAAGATAACTTATAGCAAGCAGTCAGATTTCATACCCTCCAACATATCATTACTCTGGATTGACCCACCCCATGTGACAGCACAGGGTCAATCACCAAGCCCAAGTGCTGTCAGGTCACAGTCACATGCTCCCTACCTCCTGACTTGCTGGGCATCTTTGTCCATATGGAGTGTCTGTGGAGTGTGGTCGTAGCACAGGTTCATTTTAATCTCTTGCCGACTGCATAATGCATATACAGTATGCGGTGGCAGGAAAAGTGGGCTTTAATGCCCAGCCACCATACATATGTGCCCACAGCAGCCTGAGGTTGTGTGGTGAGAATCTGCCCGCTGACAGCTGATGGTCTTGGCCAACGGGATGGACTCCCGATCATGTGACTGCAGTAAGAGGCAATCACCACATGGTGGTCCGTGGAAAAGAGACCCATTACACTGGTGGTTAGTGGGAAGAATACTCCCTACATTGATGGTAAGTGGGAAGAAAGTCCCTTACAGTGATGGTCAGTGGGAAGAATGCCCCTTACATTGGTGGTCATTGGGAAGAATGTCCCTTACATTGGTGGTCATTGGGAAGAATGTTTCTTACACTGCTGATCTTTGGGAAGAATGTCCTTTACATTGATGGTCAGTGCGAAGAATGTCCCTTACTTTGATGGTTAGTAGGAGAATGCCCCTTGCATTAGTCCGTTACATTGGTTATCAGTGGGAAGAAAGTACCTTACATTGATGGTCAAAGAAAAGAATGTCCCTTACATTGGTGATTAATGGGAAGAATGTCCCTTACATTGGTTATCAGTGGGAAGAATGTCCCTTATATTGATGGTCAGTGGGAAGAATGTCCCTTACATTGATGGTCAGTTGGAAGAATGTCCCTTATATTGATGGTCAGTAGGAAGAATGTCCCATACATTGGTGGTCAGTGCGAAGAATGCCCCTTGCATTGATGGACATTGAGAAGAATGTTCCTTACCAATTGTTGATTTCAATGAGGTCAGTGAACTTACCTAAGAGGCAGAAATTGCTCATTGCTCGAGGAACCCCTAGCAACCTCTAAAGAACCCCTGTTGGAACTAAAAAGTCACTCTGGTGTATAAACAAGTCACAAAATACCTTTGGTCATGAAAAGGTTAATATTAAAAAAATTTAATTTTGGTTTTACCCAGATGATTTTGCAAAAGTGCAGAAAGAAAACTGCAGTGTCAGGCTGCAGCTTGCTTGAGATATGACAAGTCGTGCATGAATGGAAAAAATAATTATTGGCCTTATCAAATGTATGGTAAGGCCGAGGGAAGGGCAGGTTATCTCTGTCAACAGTCACATAAGATATGCGCAGCCAGCTTTCTCTGACAGTGGATGCATGGAAACGAAAAACACACCAAAACATCTCCTTTATATGGGTCACATAGACATAGAGATAATTAGATGCAGACAGTTTTCCTTGCTGTGACTAAAGCGTGCATATATTCCATTTGTAACCACATTTTTTAAGCATTTATTAATGTTTTATCTTTTATGTGGACCAAATGCTAGAACTCTATGTAAGCAACTAAATATAAAGTTTAAATACATACAGGTTACACATACATATATAACTGTTCAACCTTCCAAAAGATTTATAGATCTCTTAGCCATTTGTATGGCACCACACTCCCCTATCAGACATTATAGCCAGGTCAGTGACCAAGTGGGTCAGCAGAACAACGATGAGGTCAACACTGCGCCTGATTGACTCATCTTCCCGCCACACCTTCTAAACAGTTCTGCTGTTCCGTAGATTACAGGAAGTTCTGTGAAGATAGAATTCAGGTACTCATACTGGCTGCTTTTAAAAATCATTTAAATATGTTATAACATATACATGACAGGGGCGGACTGACCATTTGGAAACTCGGGCACTGCCCAAGGGCCCTGGGGTCAGTAGGGGGCCCCATGAGATGCCCCTGGTACCTTTTTATAGGCTTTTTTAAGTTTGGGCAAGGACAAAGGGGCCCCATGATCCCCTATTGCCCGGGGGCCCCATGAGTTGTCAGTCCGCCCCTGATACATGACTGAGTTAATGTAAATATAAAAACCCAGTCAAAGTAAAATCTCATATAAAAGTAAACATGTTGATGCCTTTTTATAAGTTGTTTTCCATATTTTTAAAAATGCTGCATTCATTAAAATAATACCTGGTGATCCTGCCATGAAGGTCCTTGTTCAGGCAGTGACAATGCTCTGTCCCTGTCTCCCAGTTGTGCTCCTGCGTAGTCACTCTGTCACAAGGGCTCCCCATGCAGACTAAAACTGACCATTTCAACACACATTCTATAGACATTGTAGATCTGGCCTGACAAATGGACGTGTAGCACTACCCCCTTAGGAGTCACTGAGCTTTGGGTTCCCTACAGTCCTGTACAGCCAGGCAACATGTATTTTCTTGAGACCTTGTACACTGGAGACAGTAAACACTGAGCTTGTTTTTGTGATTTTATTAAGGGGTATTGAACTTGGATGGGGTTGAGGGGTGTATGGGATGCCCGAGGAACTGTGAACTTGAGGACAAACTGCTTAGCAACTACAGTATCTCACAGAAGTGAGTACACCCCTCACATTTATGTAAATATTTTATTCTATCTTTTCATGTGACAACACTGAAGAAATGACACTTTGCTACAATGTAAAGTAATAAGTGTACAGCTTGTATAACAGTGTAAATTTGGTGTTCCAAATCTATAATAATAAGAGTACTCCCAGAAAATATGAAGTGTGCTCGTATGAGAGCCACATCTCCAGCAGTGGTCATCCACTTGCAGGAATAATTTGGCTAGTACAGATGGGTTGCTTTACCATCGGGTCATGCTTTTATAGGCTGTCTCCTGATACTTGCTGCGTAATGAGCATTTATACATGAAAAAGAGAATCCAGTCTTTTTGGGGTTCTGAAAAAGTGACTAGTAAGTCTCTTTCCCATTTAACAAAAAAAGGGGGGATCATATCGCGCATGCAAAGCAAGTAAATGTTGGTATGAAGATGACAGAGATATTCGTATCGAGCCATCCCCTAGACAGAGCTCCTCAAACAAAGTGAGGGACCTCTGAAAAAGGTGTGGTTTGGTTAATGTGCTCAAAAAGTGTGATAATTGGAGGGCCTACCATTGGTTTAAGAACGGAGACCTGGGGCCCATAATTAAGTTTCTACCCAGCTGTTTGGGCGAAGGAAATAAGACACACACGTAAGAGCTTTCGGGGAGATTGCATGAAAACTGCTGGGTCTGATAGACCTAGGCTAAATGCAGGATGACCTACTATCGGTGTCATAGGAGAGGGAAAACTGAGCAGGGAAGAATGTTTGTAAAACCTTCCGATTTTAGTCAAAGTCAGGCCAATAAAGGGGTGGGAAGTTTATTGAGTGTCTGCCCAGGGTAGGCCCAAGATAGGTTCCTTTGCTATGTCCTGTTCTAAAGAGACCCATAATTTATGGGTGCTATGTCTGCACCAGTTTACCACCCTGGTCATGTGGACTGCAGTATAATACAAAGCCGGGTCAGGAAATCCTATTCCCCTCTTAAGTTTTGGTCGAAGCAAAAGGCTCTGCTGGGGGGTTTCCTATGCCACACAAATTTGACAGAGGCGGACCTCATTGAATGTAAGTATGTTTGGGAAATCTTAATATGCAAAGCCTGCAGAAGGTATAAAAGCCTGAGCATCACGTTCATTTTGAACACATTGAAGCTCCCAAACCAGGATAAGGCAAGATCGTTCCATCATGTGAAGCCGTTCAACAAGACAAGAATGGCTGGAAACTGAGTTTGAGTTTAAAGGATAAGTCCACCTTTTGGACAAAACAAAATAAATGCACATTTTTTTGCAGGTAAAAATATGTGCATTTATTATTTTTGTCCAAAGGAGCCTGTAAAGCATTGCACCAGCGATCAGTAGATCACTGATGCCATGCAGGTCTCCTGCAGACCTGTCAGTATATCTGCTTGCTATATGGGATGTACGGTCAAGCAGATATTCCAACAGGAAGCTTGAATGAACTACCACAGCGCTCCACAGTACTGTAGTAGTTCACTCAAAACTACAAGCTGGCAGCTGCTAATGCTGCAGGGACTTGTAGACACTCATTCACAGAACTCTGTAAATGAATGACTCGGCCTTGTGAGCGGAGCCCAGCATGGCCATGTTGTTTTCAAATCTGATAGTACGGGGGGCTTCTCCTCATTCTATCTGTCAGAAGGGGGGGCAGTAGGCGCAGCTGCGGGTATGGGAACATGTTACATGTTCCACCCTAAAAAAACGGGTGGAACATGTAACATGTTCCAAAGGTGAACTTATCCTTTAAGTATGGAGTCTAGGTTCGCATGGATTTATGTTCCAAGATATTGAATATAGCGAGTGGCCCACCTAAATGAGAAATTAGGTTGTAACCTAGTAAGTACAGAGTTAGACAGGGATATGTTGAGAGCCTCCTATTTTTGGAGATTTACTTTGAAATTGGATAGGGGGCAATAAGTTCTTGTAATAGAGAAGGCGATGAGATACAAGGTTCCGTAATGTAGAGAAGGAGGTCATCAGCATAAGCAACAATCTTGTAGTGGTAAGTGGCTGCTTACACACCTCTCACATCTCGGATGTGTTGAAGGAAGGGTTCTAGGGTGAGGACAAAGAGGTGAGATGATGGGGGACAACCCTGTCTGGTACCATTGAACATTGAACAAAAGGGTCAAAGTTAAAGACATTGACTTGAATGGTAGCAGAAGGAGTAGAATATCATGACTATATTGGGGGAGGCATTACAAAATGTTTAAGAGTTTCAGAAAGGAAGATCCAGTCAACTCTGTTGAATGCTTTTTTGGTGTCAGTGGACAGAAGCAGTAGAGGGGTATTGATTTTTTTAGCTGATGCAATGATATTCAGGGTTCTGATGGTATTGTCTCTGGCTTCTCTGGTTTGTATAAAACCTACTTAGTTTAGGGAAATAAGGCGTTGTAGGATAACATTCAGTCTGCTCACAAGAATTTTGGAAAATAGCTTAATGTCACAATTCAAGAGCGAAACAGGATGGTAACTAGTGCAAAGTAATGAATCTTCTTCAGGTTTTGGTATAACAGAAATACTGACACTTAGTAGATTGGAGGGGACACCCTGGCCATACGTAATAGAGTTAAAGGCTTTGAGGAAGTAAGGTGTGAGCTGCGGTAGGAAGGCCTTGTAGTATGCAAGTGAAAAGCCATTGGGGCCTGGAGCATTTCCAGGGTGGGTAGCTGCCACAGCCGCCGCAAACTCTTTGGATGAGAACGGTTGACACAAAGATTCACGTTTGTCTTGTGTAAGGAGAGGGAATTGAGCCTCCCGTAGATAGTTTATGATATCGGAAAGTGAAATTGTATGTTGGGAGTCAGACGGAACTGGTCTCAAGTTGTAGAGAGCAGAGTAGAATTTTCAGAACCCGTCTGCTAGGGGTACGAAGGATTTTGGTCCTGATGAAGTAGTCAAGGCAGAAACAAATCATTGGGAATTCTGGGCTTTCAGTGCTCTAGCTAATAGATGGGCACATTTTCACCAAATTTATAATAAGAGCGGTGGGTCCACAAGAGTATATGCTTGCTTTGTAAAGGGAGTGCTCCTGGATCTATTCCCGAACTTTTGAAAGTTCTATATCTAGGGCAGGATCAAGGTTTGATTTGTGGGTGCGTTCTTAAGCATGTAAGTTAGCAAGTGAGTCAGTCAAAGATTTTGTTCTGCGTTGTTTGGCCACATGGCCATGCTTGATAAAGATCCCCTGAACTTGTGCACCAACCACAAGGACAGGGGATTGTCAACGGATCCTGAATTCAAGGAAAAGTAAACATTTAGTTCACACAGAATGTCTGCAGCTATTTCCAGATCTTTCAGTAAAGCC